TAAGAAATGAAGTAAAGTGAAAGAAGACGTTGCCAAAACCAAAAAGGTAATTTGATACTACTAATAATATTCATCCAAGTCATACTGCTTTTCAAGGGTTAAAACACTTGAATAAGACACTAGTTTAGTTTCTTACACAAGGTCGGTGGCATTTTACAAACTTGACCAACCCTCTCTAGGAGCTACAAAAGGAGCGCCCTGCTCTAGTAAATTAAAAAGTATGGCAACAATATATCCTTTCTGTTGAGCTACAGGAAAATTACCCACATCCTGCACAATATATCTGGGAAAGAATGATCTGTATTGATGTTACTTTGAAAAAAAACCCAAAAACTTATCTACTGAGCCTAAAACATTTGTTTGAAACTTACAAGGGTACTGATAGGCCAATTTGCGACGCCATTCGTTGGCAAAGATCATGAAGGCATTTGGTGGCCTTGGTATCTTGCCTGCCCGACGTTTAGGCCATGCATTCTGTTTTTTCTCCCGTGGATTTGTTAATAACTGGGGCAGCAACATATCTCTGCTTGACCCCGCTACTGCTGCACCCGTTGTTGCTGTTGTTGTTGTTGTTGTTGAGACAGGTGGATGTATTTCTACCAGTAAACGAGCCTTGCCAAATTCTGATGGTGAACCAACTGTTCAATAAAAAACAGAATCACCATGTTATTCCACTCAAAGATCAACAGTTCTCAAGGAAAAATTTACCGCTGCATTCATTAATAAAATTCTGCTGTGACTGCATTCAGTTGAAAGTAATATTTTGATGTGTATGTTAAAAACATATAAGTAAAAATAAGACAATATCCCTGCTAAAAATTTTGCTTTGAAGCAGATTTAAAACAAAATGATGAAAACTGAAGTTGAGTAAATTTAACACTGCTATACTTGTGCAACCAAGGGAATATCTTGAAATGAGGAATTCATTGTATAGAGAGCTTATTCAAGTTTCCAATACCGGAACAAAACTTTATTAACACTTGTATAACTGTTTGTAACTTCTGTTAGTATTATTCATAAAATTAGTAAGTACCAAATGCAGTGAAGGTCATTCTCAAAAATCATAGTCATTAACAGGCAGGGGCAATAAACAATTCAAATTTTTCATGATGGAAACTAAAAGAGCAAGGTGTTATACAGTAGCCTGTTACGGTTTCATTCCCAGAATGGTGATGATAATGATCACTCTTTAAAGATAAAGTAAACTTCAAAAACATGTACATACTTCGTGGTTGTTTGTTGCTTCTCAGTCCTGATTTCTGAGGTACTGAATTCACCTTCGGGAAGTCGTTCGATTCAGGCTGAAAATTTCAGGTTTAGTATCAATAAGCATATATATCTGAATTACATTACATAACATAACATTACAAACACAAATACACATAGAGAAAGTATAATTTTTCTAGCCAAGAAAACTCACGTTACTAATGTGACAGCCCACTCTGAGTTCGATTCTCGAGCAGGCAGACCGGAGATGGACTTAGACTGGACTTTTGGCAATTACTCCAGTTTATATGCAAGGAAAGGGGCCTAAGTTAGTTTTGTTTCGGTAGCGCCTTCCTTAATCGGAATTTATATTCAAATTGTATGGAATTTTCCTGAGTTGATGGTTAGTATCGCTAGTTCGGGCCACATTTTGGGAGACTTGTTTGTTCCACCGGCCGACTGCCTGGCGCCAGCTACGTGACTA